TATAATATATAATTAGTATTATTAGATAAATCATTAAATATATTTTTATAATAAAATTATTTGAAGATATAAATGTTGCACATATTTTCTATAAACCTAATTAAAGTTGAGAAAATTTGACTTGTACGTACCCCACTTCTATTTTAGGACAGAGGTTGGTATGAAAAAAAAATCTATGTACATAAATGCAGAAACTCTTCCCTAGAGGATGACACGTGCATGAGTACGAGATGCACCGTGTTCACCCAATCAGGATGGCCAGTGTAAGCTTTGGACGTATCTATTGAGGCATGATGCAGTCATATTTTGGCATCCGGTTCATGCAGGCTGCATCAACTCAGCAGGTTACCAATCAGACTTCTTTCTCAGATTATACGAACCCACCCAGCTTGGATGAAGTGGATGCATCCAACCAACATGCCCGTAGTTGCTTGTGTATCGAGTCTCACTGATTCCTTGTGATGGCTAGCTTTCATGAGGAGTGAGGGGCCTTTTAATTTTAGCCCTCCTCCTAATTGTGATTTTTCAAGATCAACATCTCCTAATTCCAACTCAAGATCATGGAAATGCTTCGACTTTGTCGAAACCAATACTGCTGATTGAAAAATAAAGGTGTTATATATTCAACGCAAGGATGACATGGTAACTTGCATGACATTTTTATTTCAATCCAAGTGATTTTGGTGACGAAAGACATAACTCTAGTGTACATGTATACTCTCTACAACGGATAATCTTTAATAGGAGGGTAAAGTCTAAATTTTCTATCTCCAACTTACATGACAGACTAATTTTCGTTCCCTAAGTTATGAAATCGTGTACCAAACGCCCTCAGACTATCGAAACTGAATGATTTTAGTCCTCTTCAAACTTCATGACCCTGTTCGCTTCTCTTATAATCCGTCTTTTTCAGCTTATTTTTTCAGCCGAAACAATGTTTTTCTCTCACACCAAATCAGCCGGAACAGTGTTTTGGCTTGTTTTTTCAGTGAAGCGAACGAGGCCCATATCTATATAATAAAAGCCGGTTTAGTCTCCAAAACTGCACAAATAACTTATTTTATTAAATTAGAAAACATCATAGTAGTATTAGTTTTCTTCTAAAAAGGTTCTATTGGTGATGTTCTATATGGAGCTATTTGAATCTTCTTTGTTTTTTTTCAAAGATAACGAACACGACTATAAGTAATAAAGGAATAGGAAGTTCCCAATAACTCATATAGACCACAAACAAATAGATAATAACATTTTCTTTAGAAATGGTGCTAGCTTCATGTTTTCTGATTAAAATAAATGAATTCTGAAGTTTTAGAGGTTAAAATAAGACATTAATTAGGAAACCACCTTTGAAGTGTGCAAAAACACCATATTTGTCTGTTTTTAACCGTTGAAAAACATGTTTCATAGCTTATTAATGTTGAAAATCGATCTGTCAATTAAATTGGAGGTTGAAAAAAAATAGACCTTATCTAAAATAGCATGCACCTCTTGAAGCCATAAAAGAACATTATGGCATTATCAAACAACCTTGACAATTGACAAATGACGCGCTTACCAAACCCATCTTACAATGCAGTACGCTACGTCACATGTGGTGTTGCATGTTGTAGTGTACAGTACTCCCTTGGTCTAAAAAAATGACATTTTTTATTTTCAGACATCGTCTTATTCAAAAATTTTGTGTAAATAATAAAATAAATAAATTATTATTAAAGTATATCTAATGATAAGATAAGTTATAATAAAATAGATAATATTTATATAAAAAAATTGAATAAAACGAATGAACAAATAAGATGTCTGGAAGAAAAAAACGACGCTCGGTTGCTTGTGGTTGACCAATCGCTACGAAGGGAAAAGGGAATCATTCATTGCTACAGAACGATGTTGGTACAGAACGAGTAGTCAGACTCGTCTTTCCTGTTTCCAGTCTCCTGTCCGTGGCATGGTCTCTGACGGCGAGTCGGCGCGGGAGCCTGCACCTGCACGGGTCAAATTAGACAAGTCCCCAAGTAATTTATTATGTCTAATTAATTTATCGTTACTACATATTTACTGTAGCACCATATTATCAAATTATGAACTAATTATGATTAAAAAATTCATCTCGTAAATTAGTACCAATCTTTGGATTTAATTTTGTAATTAGTCTTATATTTAATACTTCATATATGTGTGTCAAATATTCAATATGACATATGCTAAAATTTAGGAGAGGAAAATAAACATAGCTGGCAAGCGGGAAAGGTAGAAGATGCTGCTACCTGCCGCCGCGGTCAGCACACAGTGACAAGCAGCTTGCAGACCAGTCGGTGAGATGACTTGGATTCAAATTGAATTCCCCTTTTCGGAATATACCAGGTCGTGTTTATCTCTGCAGGGAAATTAAATGGTCTCGCCAAAAATGCCTTTTCCTACGGAGCAGGGCATAGACTTTCTAGATAAAAATTAAATGAACGAATGCCTTTCTAGTAGTACGTACTGAGACTACTAGACTAATCCAACTGGCACAGCAAGTAACACAGGAATCTCTTCTCCTGAACAAGGTCAACTGGAAATTCATATATCACATGAATGCATTATTGTGTGTGGAGTGGAAGCCAAGTTCGCCAACAGCTGGGGCTGGTCTTTCGATCGAGGAACAAAAGCTATCACCAGACGAATCTCTTGCCAATTCTTTTTTGGCGCGCCAAATTTCTTGTGAATTTGAGTGGATGAACTAGTAGTTTTTCATCGATCGAGAAAACCAAATTGCGAGCCAGACGTATTTCTCGTTTGTTTCAATGTTAGCATCAGGGGTAACATCATAAACTCCAACTATATCAGCTATATGACATGAGAAGTATACCACACCATTTTCTTGATTTCGACGTTATATTTGTGAATATCCTATTTCCAAGTTGCTAGAAATTGCCTAACGTAGCACAGTGACAAAAGCAGCGCTACCGCTACGTTACGATCAGGACTTCACCGTCGGATTCAGATCCAACGGTGGAGACCGTGCACCCGCTGGCAGGCAGGCGGGCAGGGCAGTAACCATAACCCAAGCCTTCACTCTAGATCTACGTGTTACTAAAAAGTTCGAACACACTTAGATGTCATGACACTTTACTTCTTTTTTTTATCTCCCAAGCTATTCTGTCGACATCTGCTATTAACGGTGTCAAATGGAGTTGCGAAAAGTCAGAACTGCCCTCTGGCTATAGTGTCTTGCTGAAAGTTGTGTTTTCCTCATGTGCCACTCGCTGGTCCTGTGGCATTCATCTGACAGTGTCAACTTGGGGCTTAATTAGCCGCTAATTTGAAACACAAATGATCTTACCCCTTTATACATACATGCCGATGACGAGAGTGTTCGACTGGACTAAAAATTCCACTTTATCATGCTTGGTTTTTACTTTATTTAAAATTGGTTTTTTTGAGAAAAACATTGTTCCCGCTGAAAAAAAGACAGCCAGCCAGCCGAAGATGGCCAGCCGAACACGCTCGACAAAACTAGAATTAGTTTAAAAAAATATCACACAAATTTAGAGCAAGCCAGCAGAAACACACAAATTTAATCTAATTAAATTACGGGCATTGGGTTGTGCATACCTAATCATCCGATCGCGTTAATGCATACAGAGTGTTAGAGTACAAGGGTGAAGGCGAAGGCCAAAAGCTTGCATACTGCTTGCTTGGTTTATAAGCCGTACTTTTTCACCAATGAATATTATTTTTTCTCACAATAAATCGACCAACAATACTTTCAGTCATGATTTATTAGCCAAGCGAACAAGGCATTGGCAGCTTGACTGAGATGCGTACGCGTCTCACGTCTCACCTAGGCGTAGTCGCGTACTTGCGTTGCTGGCTCGCCGTCGTCGCCCGTCGAGAGATCGTAGCGCGCGTCGTGTCCGGCGTCTCGCACCGTAGCCGCGCCCGCGTCGCCGCCGCGTGAGACGAAGAGTAGTAGTAGTAGCAGCGACCAAAATGCCATCACCTTGTCCTCATATACGCCGCTAAGCCGCAACCGAAGGTACACCAATGCGAGCTCGCTCCTCCAAGCCTTCTCCACCCTAACCGGTTGCTCCCTCGCCTTCCCCATCTCCCCCCGTGTGTGCCGCTCTCCGTTCCTACTCGCCACCGACGTCGAGACACCCCGTTCGCGGGGCCATTGTCGGTATGCTCTCTGCCGTGCCGCAGGCTCGCATGGCCGGGAGGCCACGGGCGTCATCACAAATGGCCGAGGCCCTCGCGAGTCTTGACTTCTTTGCCGCTTTGCCGCAGCGACCTCGCCCTACGACCACTTTGCCGCCGCGAGAGCTGATCCCCTAGCGCTGCGTCTGTTGAAGAAGAAGGATCACGCCCGCAATAGAAACGATGGCGTGAGCGAGCAGGATCACGGCTCGAGCAGGCGGCGGCGACGCGAGCAGACGACAACCTGAGCGAACAGAGCCGCGGCGCGAGCAAGCGGCGGCGGGTAGCGACGTGTTCCGGCGAGGAACACTCGGCGGAGGGCACGGCACGGGAGGAGACGTTCGGGGTGGGCTAGCGCGGGGCAAGGGGTGGCCCCCCGGGCGAAGGATGACGCAGGAGGATGCTACGGGCGACTAGATGGATCGGGTGAAAGAGAAGAGGAAGGAGAGGATAAGCTAGGGAAGGGAGAGAGGCAATCTCTACCTATTCACTAATCGGGACTCACGTATGAGGGCAACTAAACGGTGAAAACTGAATAGATGGTCAACAGAATGGCTGGGAAAAAAAAAGTAAAGTGTTATAACACTGAATACGTTTTTTTTTTTTGCTTGTAGACATGAAGCATCTTTCACACTGCTAAAAGGCTCTTTCCAATTCCATGTCACATTTCCTTTCCATTTCTGTTCCTCTCTCTCTCTCTCTCTCTCTCTCTCTCTCTTTCTTCCCGTCGCCGCCCTCGTCCTCGCCGCCACCACCACCACTTCCCTCCCCCACCCGCACCCGCCGAACGCCCCCCATTTGCCTCGATTTCACCGGCGGCGATGCACGGCAACGACAACTGGATCAACAGCTACCTCGACGCCATCCTCGATGCCGGCAAGGGCGCCGCGGCCGCGGGCGCCGGCGCCGGCGCAGGCGCCAGGGGCCGGGGCGGAGGCGGGGACCGGCCCTCGCTGCTGCTCCGCGAGCGCGGCCACTTCTCCCCCGCGCGCTACTTCGTCGAGGAGGTCATCACCGGCTACGACGAGACCGACCTCTACAAGACCTGGCTCCGGGTACGTACGTGCGTGCGTGCTCCCTCGCGCGGCGGCTCCGCTCCTCCCCCCGCGCGTGCGGGAGGGCGAGCGAGCTCGCGCTCCGAATCCCTGGCTCCCTTCCTCGCTGGTGATCCGCGGGATGTGTTGATCGATCTGTGTGTGTGCGGCCGCGTGTGCACGTGGTGGTGGTGGGTGCGCGCAGGCGAACGCGATGCGGAGCCCGCAGGAGAAGAACACGCGGCTGGAGAACATGACCTGGAGGATCTGGAACGTCGCCAGGAAGAAGAAGGAGGTGCGCCTTTTTGCTCTTGGTTCGTTTCTCTTCTCTCCCTCCGCCGTGCTGCTTCTTATGTTCCTCACAGCTTGTGCCCATCTCGGTTTTGATAATTCAATCCGCAAGCTGGGTTGGGCTCCGGAAAGAGGAGACGTGGGTTAGATTACCGTTTTGCTGGAACTAGGATTGATCTTGGCATAGGTGCATTTTAGAGAGCATCAGGATCTGTTCCACAAAATGTTTCAGTGGAGTGTTCATCGAGCTATGGTCCTTCTCGATGAGCTTTGCAAAGGTATTGAACAGAAGTTCCACATTGATTTGAACCAGGTAGCACGCCTAGGATGTTTCTGCCTTATCTGATCGCTACTTATGATGGGGTAAGACACTGAGCAAAATGCCAAGCTTTTCAAGCTCCATATGTGTGATTGGGTATGTAAGTTAGCTAGTATTATCACCTAGCCTCCAGTTCGTCACCTTCTCCCTGTGGTTACTTCTTCAATTCATCAAAAACTGCTTGATGAAGTGCTAGAACGTGAAAGAAAATATAGCTCTTCCGCTACAGATGTATGGAAATACGGTAATGATCAGTATTGTTGATGGGTCACACTGACCCCAGAATAGGACACGCTACACTGCAAAGCACAGAGCATCCATTCATATTCATATTAGTCTATGTTTGTTTTGAGCAGCAACAAATTGAGCATGTAAAGCAAGAATAGTGAAAATTAGCCAGAGGCATTAGGTTATCTACTAAGGTTGATGGACCAAAGCGTGTTTCACTGGTATCAGTATCACCAAATCTGCACTAAATAGGCTATTCCTTTGGAAAATCTGTAATAACTGCATACTCATGTCAGTTAATAGAGTCCAGGCACATGTTCTCCATTGTATTCTGGAAAAGGACATTTTTTTTTTCTAATAGTCTAATAGATAACTATGAAGTGTGCTGGACATCATGTTGGTAGGAGTGTCAGGTTCACTCAAGTTGTTTCTGTGCGTTGCAGCCTCAAAAACCAAGAAGTCTTATATATCAAGACAGTATTTCTCTGTTTTACACACAAATTCTAATATTCCATTTTCTCTGATCAATTCCAACAATTTTTACTTGTGTTTAATTCTGCCCCTTCAGTCCATTCACCATTTAATGCAGACTAAGCGACTGAGGTGTGCCTCATGTGGTCGAAAAAGACTGAAGATTTAAATCTGTATAGTAGACTAAGAATTTCTCACACGTCTCAACCAGAAAACACACACACACACACACACACGGAATATTCTCATTCTTATCGTCTATTCCAAGTTGCCAATTTGTACCCACTACCCAGAAAGTGTATTTGAGAGTTCCGCTTACACTTTAACCTATAAGGCTATAATTCAAGGTTCATGAAAACAAGCTGAAAGTAGAATTTTGAACCAGTAAGAACATTTATACAAAACAACTTTGTGTACACCTTGTTTCAAGATCTTCATTGCAAGTTTTGATTTTACTGTGATGAAGATTTGGTATAGTAAAAATTGGCTATGTAGCATCCGTAGCACATTATCAATGTAATTGAAATATTTTGGTACATTTTAATTCGTCTCAAAGATCCATATGTCAGTATTTTTACCACAAGTCAACATCTACTATTCTACTAGACTTTCTTCGATTTTGCACACTATGAAGATCAACTGGTCCTAAGAACCTAAACTTCCAAGATTTTCTCTTCTACTCTTCAGTCTTCACCTAACCTGAACCTCCAAACTGCGGGTGTTTTACCTGGTAGAAGGTGGAAACAATGTAATACAAATTTGTCCTATTGGCAGCAATCAGTGCTGTGTAGTTATTCAATTGTACACATCTAGGAGGATAGCACCAATCAATCTTTACTCCTTTAGCAAGGTACTTCACTTCATTATTACAATTAAGGTCTTTCGTGAGACATGCCCCAGTGTCAACAGAGGCACCATGTCACTGGACTACTGGAGCTCCTCCCACCTGTTGCTTGCTCTTGCCTTATTCTGTTTGCCATCATACTTACCTGTTGCAAAAGAGTATTCAAGATAGTTGCAGGGGTAAAATGGTGATCCCAAACAACGAATGTTCTTTTAGTTGTTGTTGTGATTGTATTAGAATGTAACAAGTCCATATTGTGGTATTTGTCTAAAGTGTCCAGCTGTAGATGCTACATAGCCATCCTCCTCAGAAAAAAAAGAAGAAAAAGCCTTTGGCCAATGGGGAAAGATTGCCCAGTATTGCACTAAGAATAAGCTCTTAGACAAACTGACAGAGAAAATCCCCAACCCTGGCTTCACCTATAGCCTATAGGGCCGCACTGTAACCCTCGGCCAACCATGAACTTCTGGGATGGCGACCACTGCAAGTATCCCCTGGTAGGAGGGCTCAAATCAACCGCTAGTGTCACAGGTTGGTGCCCTATGAATATTTATTGGGTTGCCAGCGAGGGTTTTTTTTTTGGTGCCATGAGGATTTGAGCCCTTGCCTGGGTCTCCCTCAACTACGGAGCTTACCACTGCACTACATGAGTGTTGGCCTTTTATGAATCTTCAATTCCTCTTGGTAACCTGCAGTATGGATATCAAGGGCCTAGATGAGTCTGGGCTCATGGGCTGCTTGTGATATATAGATACAAGATAAATGTTAGTTTTCAATGCTTCTATCCACTGGCTCGATGACAACTTTCTTAAGCACTATGCAAAGCAAGTGGAATCAGGGGCAGGGAGACCTCAGTTGAGTTTGGCAACATGGATGATCGTCCAATGTGCATGGCCTTTTATGTTCACAGACCTTTTGTCTATTTAGGCATGTATGTGTGAAGATATGATTAATGACATTATAGAATGTGTAGAATATCATGTGGAAGTGAAAATGTGGGATTTGAGTGGAAGTGAGTAGATCAAGAGATGTAGGATTCTTTTTTGATGGAAGATGAGGGATCTAATTTTTTATTGTTTAAAGAGGTGGCATACTGGCATGTAGATCCTCTAAGAACACAAAATTAGTTTCATACAAGCAAACTATTTTTTCTACAAGTACACTGTCATTGGCTATTTGTTTGATTTATTAAAGTTTGTTTGTTTTTTCTAACATACTGCTTTGCTCTCTTCACTTCAGTAGAAATTATTTTCTTTGTGTAAAGGTTGTATGCACATAAACCATGCTATGAAAAGTTACTTATGAGTGGCCCTATGATATTCGCTGTTTGATGTGTTGTTACTTTTTTTGTTGTTGAAGTTTGATGTGTTGTTACTTGTTAGTGCGTGGCATGTTCATATGCCTAGCGGTCCCTTCTCTAAGTAGTCATAAAAAAGGAATCGATTGGTCAGTTCAACGAAACTCATTGAATTAGTTTAACATGCATGCTAAATAAAATTGGCCTCTTGGGTTTACAGTCCCTATTTTTACTTGTACTTCAAATGTTCCAACAGCTCTCACTAGTTCACAACTCACAAGATATATTGACAATATAATGTATTTCTTTGTGCATTTAATGTTTTGATTTCTAATCTGATAATGTTGTTATCAAAAGTGATTTTGTTGTTCAGTTTATTTTCACATTTCCGCTTTATCTTGTTATGTGATAATTACATGTTAGGTTGCATTTGAACTTCTATCTCTAACATTTAATATAGTTTTTCTTTGTTATGAAAATTTAAATATTCAGTTTGAGAAAGAGGAAGCCAACCGCTTGTCCAAACGCCGTCTAGAGACTGAGAAGCCACGGAATGATGCTACTGCAGAAATGTCTGAAGATCTTTTTGAAGGAGTGAAGGGAGAAGATGCTGGTGATCCATCTGTTGCCTACGGTGACAGCACAACTGGGAACACACCTAGGATCAGTTCATTTGACAAGCTATACATAGTGTTAATCAGGTACATAATAGTTTATTTAACAACTTCTACTGTAATTTTTTTTGATACTTTTATGTACATGCTACAGATTGATTAATCTGCATGTAACTAATTCATCATGTGACGATATGCTATTCATATCTGTTGCAAAATGATTTACATTAAATTGAAAGAAGGTCATAAGGAAATAAACTTCCGCAGATTTAGCCTGAACACTGCATACTGTTCATACTATTCTTAGAATCGGTGGTTTCACAAGTTGCCCATATAATCCAATTTAAATATGATGTAATCCTTTGGCTTGCTGGTATTTTTGTTGAAATATATTTGCCATTGAATTTGTGTTATGATGTATTATACTGTAGTCTTCATGGCCTGATACGTGGAGAGAATATGGAGCTTGGCCGTGATTCAGATACTGGTGGCCAGGTAATGGTATCGTCGGTGCATTTATTTATAGAATCAAGTATAACTGCAATTCTTTCTTCAGAATGAATAACTCAAAACTTTATCCTGTAGTTAACGGAGCAGCTATATATTCCATTTGATGTTTCGAAGATATTCACTAAAAAGATACTAGTATCATACAAGGACATGATTTCACTTTCATCCACTGTGTGCTGTTTCATAGGTCAAATATGTCGTGGAACTTGCTAAAGCATTAAGTTCATGTCCTGGAGTTTACCGGGTTGATCTATTGACAAGACAAATCTTAGCCCCAAATTTCGATCGTGGCTATGGTGAACCAGATGAGATGCTGGCTTCGACAAGTTTCAAGAACTTTAAATGCGAACGAGGAGAGAACAGTGGTGCACATATCATCAGAATACCATTTGGCCCCAAAGACAAGCATCTAGCTAAAGAAAATATCTGGCCTTTCATTCAAGAATTTGTTGATGGTGCGCTAGGTCATATTGTGCGCATGTCAAAAACTATAGGCGAAGAAACTGGCAGTGTGTGTCCAGTGTGGCCTGCTGTGATTCATGGCCATTATGCCAGTGCAGGAGTTGCTGCTGCTCTACTATCTGGAGCACTTAATGTTCCCATGGTGTTTACCGGGCATTTTCTTGGGAAAGATAAGCTGGAAGGGCTTCTCAAGCAAGGGAGACAGACAAGAGAACAAATAAACGTGACATACAAAATAATGCGCCGAATTGAGGCAGAGGAGTTGTCTCTTGATGCATCTGAAATAGTTATTGCAAGCACGAGGCAAGAAATAGAAGAACAATGGAACTTGTATGATGGTTTTGAAGTAATGCTTGCGAGGAAGCTCCGTGCGTTAGTCAAGCGTGGTGCCAACTGTTATGGTCGTTATATGCCTCGTATGGTTGTAAGTAAACTATTCCTCTGATTCTGTAAACAATTACTCGCTAGTTGCATTTTTGTCATATTTTATAGGTGGGCAATTAGCATTATGCATTCTTGCTGTCATTATCTATAATATAGAGGTTTTAAATGCTCTAGTTCTCTATTACTTGCTCTGCAGATAATTCCTCCAGGAGTTGAATTTGGCCAATTGATTCATGATTTTGATATCTATGGAGCGAAGATAACCCATCTCCAGCCTCTGAGGATCCATCTATTTGGTTTGAGGTTGTGAAATTATTTTAAGATGCCTACAAGCAAGATTTTACTTTTTATTTGACTTGATACAGCAACTTGTTTTTTTCCTGTTAATCCTGTGTGTGTTTTTAAAGTTCATGTGCTGATGGTATGTATGTGATGACAGATAATGCGGTTCTTCACAAATCCTAGGAAACCTATGATTCTGGCTATTGCCCGTCCATATGCTGAAAAGAATATTGCAACGCTTGTGAAGGCATTTGGTGAATGCCACCCGTTGAGGGAACTTGCTAACCTTGTAAGATAACACTGAGAACCTGACATTTTAGTGTTTTGGGTATATTGCGTTCCAATATCATAATTGTATTGAATATGTTAGTAATATGGAATTTTGATACCTTTTCCTTGGTACCTTTTGATTTTGCATTCCAGACATTGATAATGGGCAACCGTGAGGCTATTTCCAAAATGAACAAAATCAGTGCAGCTGTTTTGACATCGGTGCTTACATTGATTGATGAATATGATTTATATGGTCAAGTGGCATACCCAAAGCATCACAAGCACTCTGAAGTTCCTGATATTTATCGTTTAGCAGCAAGAACAAAGGTATAATGTTTTTAGCCAAAAAAAAAAAATGGTGGTGCTATATTTTCCCCTTTTGAATGCCAAGAATTAAAGCACTTATCTTTAATATATATCTGCTTTGATTTTCTTCCAACAAGCATTCGTGGTATATCCAAGTGAAATACAGTAGCCATTTTCTTATTTTAAGTATTCACTGATACAACTTTTCTCGTCATACGTATGCCAGGGCGCTTTTGTAAATGTTGCTTACTTTGAACAATTTGGTGTCACCTTGATAGAGGTCAGAACTATTGAAATCAGAAATTCATTTATGTATCTCAACATTTCCATGCCCTTACTACCTATCTGTTCTTTTTGTGAGCAGGCTGCCATGCACGGGTTGCCTGTTATTGCAACAAAACATGGGGCTCCTGTTGAAATTCATCAGGTTCACGAGTCACATTGTACCATTTATTGAATTAATAGCGTAATGACTTACAGCTGTAATAGATTGGATCCTTTCTGGTGGATGTTGATGTAGGTTCTGGAAAATGGTCTCCTTGTTGATCCCCATGATCAGCATGCAATTGCAGATGCCCTCTATAAGATGCTTTCTGAAAAGCAGTTTTGGTCAAGATGTCGAGATAATGGATTGAAAATATACACACCAATTTTCTTGGCCTGAACATTGCAAGAATTACTTGTCAAGGATATTAACTCTGGGTCCAAGACATCCTGCTTTCGCATGCAAAGAAGACCAGAAGGTGCCTGTGAAGTGCAGGAAGCATATATTTGTTATTGCTGTAGACTCCGTTAACAAGGAAGATTTAATTCAAATTATCAGAAATTCTGTTGAGGCTACACGCACTGGAACTATGTCAGGTTCTACAGGTTTCGTGTTGTCGACTTCACTGACAATAGCAGAGCTACAGTCTGTAATAAATAGCGCACAGGCATGCTCCCTACTGACTTTGATGCCTTTATATGCAATAGTGGGAGTGATATATATTATCCATCACAGTCTAGTGATGTGCCAAGCAATTCCCGTGTTAAATTTGCATTGGACCATAACTACCGATCACATATCGAGTATCGTTGGGGAGGAGAAGGTTTAAGGAAGTACTTAGTTAAGTGGGCTTTTGCAGTAGTAGAAAGAAGGGGGAGAACTGAAAAGCAAATCATCTTTGAAGATTCAGAACACTCTTCAACATATTGTCTTGCATTTAGAGTGGTTAATCCAAATCATGTAAGCTTCGTTCCAGATCTTCTAACATTTGGTTGAAATTTTGCCCACTCATTATTTGGACCACTTTATTACAGTTTAAGTGTGCAACTTTTTATTTGACTTCGTTTATATATTGTAGTTGCCTCCTTTGAAGGAGCTGCAAAAGTTGATGAGAATCCAGTCACTGCGTTGTCATGCTCTGTATAACCATGGCGCCACCAGGCTATCTGTAATTCCAATTCATGCATCGCGATCTCAGGCTCTAAGGTCTGGCGCTTGATTCTCTTCATTCGTCTATTAATTAACTCTTCCTTTTAAAGGAAAACATTTATCTTTTATGTTGCAAATTAGTTGCAGTATCATAGGGTGTGTGGAGCATTTAAAAAAACTGTTTTCAAGATGTGTAATTTTCTTTTCCTTAAATTTATGAGAAAAGTAGCTTAATACCATTATAAAAAGGTATCAATTGAATATTACATCTACTGTGAGTCTGTGACGACCATGTTTCAAGTACACATTGGATTCTATTTATCAACTTTGTGTCCATGGTGATGGCACTGAGCAATATTTCCCTTCGTGTTGTCCATTGGATGATTTATTCCAATCATGAACTGTTTCAACAGAAGACTAGACTAGCGGGAGTGAGAAACTTGATATTTACACTGGTTACAACCCCTTTTTTGTTTGCCTCTTCTCTTCTCTCTGTTTCTTTTTCTCCCCTGTTGGGTGTTCAATGTTATTCTTTGATTTGCTCTTTATTACTTCTTATAGTGACCGGCAGTTCCTTCCGGTTCCAGAAAAAGCAGTGGGAGTGAGAAGCTGGACCCTATTGCTTTGTTTGGTACCAGCTGATTACCTGTCACCAGGATTAAAAACTTTAAAAAAACTTAAAATTAGTGAAGCTGGATGTAGCTCTCTCCTTATTGGTCTCCTAAACTGCTCTGTAATTGGTCTGGAATTGGGTGTTTACCAGAATATAACAGGGAAACTATAAGTCTATAACTTGGTCAAAACGTGTGAGGATCAGGTGTAAATAGGTGTTAATGCAGGCTGCGAACCAGTTTTGAGTTCATATGGGGATTTGTATCCTTGCCTAAACCAGTTTAACTATAAGCCACATGATCAGGTTGGTGGTTATGAACCTGGAATGTGTAAGAAATCCTATAATAATATTTTTTGCATACAGAACTCTGGTGCTTCTGGCTGCAGTGAGAGTTTAAGTCGCTAATGCATGGGGTGTTTTATTTCCTATAAAAAATGAGTTTTTTTTTTTATTTTTTACCTTTCAAATGTTTTGTGCAGCCCTAAAACCCTAACAGCGTAAGAAGTTCTGCAATAGATAATACTGCCACCATCACTAAAAATGTACACTGGTCTGGTCTAGGATCTGTACTTTTGATTATTGTCTTTGGGAAACATTTTATGTATTTATTTCCATATCCACCTTGCAGCAAACATGTGTGCAAACCTACTAACAAAATTTTCTATTATAGGTATTTGTCTATTTGCTGGGGCATAGAGTTGCCAGATGCTGTGGTCATTGTTGGTGAAACTGGTGATTCTGATTACGAGGAACTGTTTGGAGGTCTTCACAAGACAGTCATCCTTAAGGGTGGATTCAACACTCCTGCGAATAGGATCCATACGGTCAGAAGGTACCCTTTACAGGATGTTGTTGCTCTTGATAGCTCAAATATCATTGCAATTGAGGGATTCAGCACTGGTGACATCAGGTCTGCTATGCAACAACAGCTTGGTATACCCACACAATGACACCAAGTGCAATCTATTTTGTTATTAATAGAAAGAAAGAAAGAAATGAATAACATGAATATACGATACAAACACTTCGTTTCCATTCTATTGGAAATGTCCGATTTTGCCTGCCAGCCATTTAATGTATGTGTGTGGTCCCTGCATGGGTTATGAATGACATTCCCTTGGATCCCCGCACTGGAAATTTTGGAGCGAAGAGCATGTTAATGGATACATCCAGCTGTACAGACGAAACAAATTTGTTCAAATGTTGATAGTGAAAAACTGAAAACATTTTGTGGAAGCATTTTCAGCAAACAAGCTTCCAATATACAAAGCTCATACTTTTTCCATCACTTCAAAGTGGAGCTTATGATTACAGCGCAACCCTCTAAACTCTTTTTTCATTCTAGGAGGGGTGCCTTATATTGTGTAAATACTGTCATATAATTTAGCACCATACATCTTGTTTTCTTGAATTAATATGCCTAAGTGTTCACTCTCTTTTTATATGTTTTTCCAACAGCCTGTCTTGTGGTTACATCATTAATACCTTTATCCATCTGCAGCACTAGTGGTTATGAAATTATTGTAGCAACTGTGGCGCTCCCAACTATGACTTCATCATGCATGTATTGCCTTGCATTATCTGCTTAAACATCATTAGTTGCTATAACTTGCACTCAAAGCAGCTTCTAAGTTTGGTGTAGTAGCTGCAACAATTACACCGCGCCCATCTGCTCTCCTCCTACCATTTGCCCCCGGATGATCACGTTTTTACTTTTGCCATTTGTTTGACCTGATTTGGTCTTCTTTTGCTTGTTCATGTGAACCCATAGAACCGTTTGCTTTCTTCTTTTCCGGTTTCCCCCCCTCTGTGTTAAAGAGATCTTGATGCTAACCAATACCGGTTGCAAAAAAACTGGACAGCAGTTGGACCGATTGCTTATCAGTTTGTGGTTGGCCATCTATATCAGGAACTGTGATACGGCTGCTTTACTTGAACACATACATGGAATAATAATATCAGAGTAAAGTCGTGATAGCTCGTGGTGTTTGTACATTTATGCCTTGTATTTATGCCTTGTATAGATATAGTCGGATTTACATCAATTCACATGTGTTGGAGTGGAACTTGAATTAAATTCCACCCCAATCCGATCACATCCAAACAATGCCTTATTAGGTGGCCCTCCCAGATGGAGGAAATGTTGGCCAAATAAAATGAGTTGCGCGCCTGCACTCGGTTGGTTCAGTTTCAAGGTACTCCGTACCAAGTATGAACACTACTTGCCATTTCTGTTCACAGCCAACAGTAGGACAGAAGTAAGAACAAGTGCCAAGGCCATGCATGCCCTTGCAAACTACAGAAACGTAGTCTTCAATACAAATACTCAACCACTGTCTTCTCTCTGAGAATAACTGCAAAGGAATCGTCAACCATTTCTTTTGGTGATGAAATATATCACTATCATCCTCGTACAACAAATATAAATGTGTGGCTAAGGTTTCTAAACATAGTATATGGATGACCTCTCAAATTTCGGATACAAATACATCACATGAATACAGGAACTAAGATACCTCTCTACCCAATCAGTCTTGCTTAGAGGTGGTAGGGAATCTGGACTATCCAAAATCTAACTGGACATTTGTTGCTTCAGATATACTTGGATAAGATCCATTTGGATTTGATATCCATCCCCATGTGATCCAATAATTTCCAAAATTCATAGGAGAGCGACTCAAAAATACAATGCCCATTGGATATCTTTGAACGTGAGAAATCGGTCCCTAATGTCTAGCTTAGATTTCTAATGTAGGACTCACGTGTTGATTTTGCTATACATAGAGTAGCTGACTGTTATACCAAGTCGTTTCAAATAAATCTCAGTTAATTTTGCTAAAATTTTAGTGTGAATGAGAGGTCGTTTTAGTTTTGCGGTCTAGCTAGCTTTTGATGTGAATACACAATTATTTATAGACACTAATATACACGAAGTAGCTGGTGGTCATGCTAAATCATCTCCAATAAATTTCAGTCAATTTCGCTAAAAAATCAAGATATGAACGTGAGGTTTTTAATTCTAGAGTTTAGCTTTTGATATGGGGCCTGCATGTATATTTAGCAACATCAATTTGCACAAAGTAGTCGGTTATTATACCGTATCATGTCCAACCAATTTCGGTAACTTTGTAAAAAAAAATAGTTTTGGTGTCGAGCTTGTAACGTGGAGGACCGTAAGCATATATATAACCATACCAATATGCACAAAACCAGTGGGCCGTCATAATGTTAATGTGTGGACGCGAAGTTTTAATTCCACACAGTCCAGCTTTATACATGAGATCATCATCTAGGCATCGTACTTTTGCTATTATTAAACCGTCATGAATAAATTTGGACTTTAAAATAATTGAATCAGATTGGATCGAACGTTAATCATTTGAAACTAGATTTAGCTCGGTGTTGGACTTCTTTTCCCTTGGGTTTCATTTGGATTTGGACTCTAATCCGCTGCCACTCTAGTCTCGCTTCTCGGCATGCACGATTCAATGCCATCGCTGACCCTGCTGACCTGGTCCGACAACATGCGAATCCTTGTGCGTGCACTGCACTGCACTGCTCGTCATCATTCCCGAATCATCACCGGCGCTGCTGCTGGCTGCACCGATCACCTCGTCTGAAACTGAAACCCACACGTTTCGAGTCACGTCGGTGACAGGAAAGGAAACATCCACCCGTCAGAAGTCAGAACGCAGAAGCCAGAAGCCAGCAACCAGCTGCCTCTCCCCTCCTGCCTTGCCGGGCCGAGTTGGTTGCGAGCTCCCAACCAACCGGGTCGGCCACCGCGGACCATGACGCCACGCCGCCCGCCGCCGCGCTTTCTCGGCGTTCCAACTTCCAACGGGTCGCCAACACGCCACGACGGGAAGAGACCTGCAGGTGGGCAGAGGGTCTCCAGGTCCTCCTCGGCAGCGGGGGAGGGGGTGAGTTTGCTGGAGAATTCATTGCGGCGGTTGGGAAGATGGATGGATGGGTGGCCAGCAAGCAGACCAACGAGCCCAAGCGGGTCAAACTCAACTCAAGGGCTTCAGCTTCAGGGGACCCGTGGCGACGGCGAGGAGCAAGCAACAACTACACCTACCTGTACTCTACCCCACTGCCAAATGCCAAATTGCCAATGCCATGCCACCGTGATGGATTTGCAAAGCGATTTTGAATAAGATTGGTAATAGGGACGTCCTCGTCCTATGGAAGTATAATTTTTCTCGAACGTGTCGTATAGCACGTATTTCATTAAGATGAATTAGACAACACCGAACCAAACAACAAACGGCTCAACACTAGGTAACCAAAGGTTTCCCAAAGCGAGGAGAAAGAAGAAAAAAAAGAAGCGAAAAAACTAAAGAGAACTACGACGAAGCCCGGCTAGTACCACAAGAGGGACTAAAAGCAACAACGGGCTAAGGTACAATGAGCTAGTAAACTAGGCCATGGGCAATGATTGGACGACCTAGAGCGGGTACCCAGAGGTAGGCTAAACCTCGAGTTTAACCCCCTCCACCAGCTGGATGCCGTCAATCGCGCAGCCAGCCGGGAAGAGCATCCTAATTGCCTCGCGCTTGGACTCCGAGAGAGGCTCGTCGAAAACGGCCATGTACTTATCGAAATCGCCCTCCGCATCGGCCTGCGACGCCTGATCCTGCTGGTGGAGTCCCCATTTTGCCATCGCAAGACGCTTACGGGGCTTGCACGGTCGGGTTGGAGGCTCTGCATCTGCTCTTGGCCGCAAGCCTCCGCTTCGACGTGGCGGTGAGGATGTGCATTCAACCGCACGACGCCTCCTAGGAACACGGAGACGTGGAGGTTCGACCAAGATCGGCTCCATGATGGTAGAGGAAAGCTGCGATCAGAGATCTGCGAGATGTCACTTTCGGTGACACGAGCTGGGCGCCACAACCGCCGCCGCATATGCATGGGCGGCGTATAATTCATTTAGGCTTATCTTAAGCCGAAGTTTTTCACTATGTCGGTGCCCAATTAATGGACTTGTATTTGTTATAGGATGAAGTGTGTGGTTTAGCTAGGTTTGAGCAAGAACTCAATTAATTTTCTGAATTCACAGTCGGTGTAGAAATGTGAGCACTTTATATATGGACGACGTAAACGCACATGTTATGAAGTCAATATTGTCAGTTCAGATACACTCTGACCTGAGAATTGGAAATTTACAGCTACTACGTACTAATGTGTCCTCACTCAGGCTTGGAAAGATACACCTGCCACTAGTAGCAAATTGAAGTTTCTGTGACATTAAAATGGTCCACTCAAAATTAAATATGCCAGTGAAACCTGTCCTGTTGTTAGTACTATTTGATTTCCCCTTTTATGGTTCTTTTTAAAACCTCCAAAAAAAGATGATTGATGTGGGCTCCTTTTAATTTTCCTTCCCAACACCAACAGTGTTCTCCCCCCTCTTCCTTCTGTGAGGACTGAGGACCTTATTGACAACAGGCAACAGAGTGTTGATGTGGGTTGTCCTCCTGCCCTACCTGTATTTGTCCATGTCCCCTTCAAAGCAGAAGCAGTCATCAGGCCCCTCCCTCTACCCCTCGTGTGTGCACACATTACCACACCAGACCAGATACACACTATCATCTCATCTCCTAGTTCCTACAATTTATATACGTGGGTGGGCAGCGACATGTGAGCCCTGGAGCAACATAGTGCTGGACGTTTTCGCTTCATCTTGGACGCATCGATCGGAGATAAATTCAGGCCATGTAAGAGGAAACAACGTTCCTTGCCTTGTTTGCAACAACTTCTTGCAGGCTTGCTTGCTTGCGTGCGTGCGTGCAGTGCAGCTCACAGGTCACAGCCTCACACTATATCACTGCGTTGTCTGTGCTGTGCACCCATCTCCAGCTCCAGCCAGGCCTTTATAGCAAAGCCTTCCGGTTCCTGGCCCCGTGATAATTCTAGAGAGAGAAGGTAGAGAGGTGTGAGCAAGAGG